CTGTTTTTATTTCCTTAGGGGTTATAAGTTTGTTTAAATTATCTATATGATCTTGATTTAACTTTGGTAAATGGTATCTATTGAGAAAATTATCAATTTCTTTTAGATTTTCCAATTTTGTGGAAAACAGGTTTTTTGTTTTGTTTTTCCTTTTTCAAAAAAACTTTAATTCTTCTCTCATACATTACATCCCAACTGCAGGTTTCCCCTCCCTCTACTCCTCCCAATCCACCCCCACCTTCTAGAGTATGGTTTTTAAAGTATGACCTGATGATTCTTTGGATTTCCTCAGGGTCTGCTGTTATGGTCCCTTTTTTTAAATAATTTTTTAAAATATATTTATTTATTTATTATGTATACAATATTCTGTCTGTGTGTATGTCTGCAGGCCAGAAGAGGGCACCAGACCTCATTACAAATGGTTGTGAGCCACCATGTGGTTGCTGGGAATTGAACTCAGGACCTTTGGAAGAGCAGGCAATGATCTTAACCACTGAGCCATCTCTCCAGCCCTATGGTCCCCTTTTTATTTCTGATTTTCTTAATTTGGATATTCTGTCTCTGTCTTTTAGTTAGTTTGGATAAGGGTTTGTCTGTCTTGTTGATTTTCTCAAAGAACCAACTCTTTGCTTCATTGATTCTTTGTACTGTTCTCTTTGTTTCTATTTTATTGATTTCAGTCCTCAGTTTGATTATTTTCTGCCATCTACTCTTGGGTATGCTTACTTTTTTCATAGCACTTTCAGGTGAGCTGTTAAATTGCTAGTATGAGATTGCTCCAGTTTCTTTATGTAGGCACTTAATGCTACGAACTTTCCTCTTAGTACCGCTTTCATTGTCTCCTGTAAGTTTGGCTATTTTGTGTATTAGTTTTCATTGAGGGCTGGAGAGATGGCTCAGAAGTTAAGAACTCTGACCGCTCTTCCAGAGGTCCTGAGTTCAAGTTCCAGCAACCACATGGTGGCTCACAGCCATCTACAATAAAATCTGGTGCCCTCTTCTGGCATGCAGGTATACATGGAGACAGAACACTGTGTACATAATAAATAAAAAAATTTTTTAAAAAAAGTTTTAATTGAATTCTAGGAAGTCTTTAATTTCTTTCTTTTCTTTCCTTTTCTTTTCTTTCCTTTCCTTTTCTTTTCTTTTCTCTCTCCTTCCCTCCCTCGCTCCCTTTCTCTCTCTCTCTCTCTCTCTCTCTCTCTCTCTCTCTCTCTCTCTCTTCCTTGACCCAGTAGTCATTTAGTAGAGAGTTGTTCAGTTTCCATGATTTGTGGACTTCCTGTTGTTTTTGTGGTTGTTAGAATACAGCTTTAATCTATGGTAGTCTGATGGGATGCAGGGAGATATTTCAGTTTTCTTGTAATTTTGCTTTGTGACCAAATATGTGGTCAATTTTGGAGAATGTTCCATGAGGCGATGAGAAGAAGGTGTGTTCTTTTGTATTTGGGTGACATATTCTGTAGAGTCTGGTAGACCCATTTAGTTCATAACTTCTGTTAGCTCCATTATTTCTCTGTTTCGTTTTTGTCTGGATGATCTGTTCATTGGTGAGAATGGGGTGTTGAAGTCTCCCATTCTCAATGTGTGAGGGCCTTTGTGTGATTTAAACCTTAGTGGTGTTTTCTTTACAAATGTGGGTGCCCTTGCATTTGGGACACAGATGTTAAGAATTGAAAGATCATTTTGGTAGACTTTTCCTTCCTCTTCTCTTTGATTAATTTTGGTTTGAAGTCTATTTTGTTAGATACTAGAATGACTAAACCAACTTGCTTCCATTTGCTTGGAAAATATTTTTCTAACCCTTTCCTCTGAGGTAATGTGTTATAGGAAGCTGCTTGTTTGTTTCCCAGCTGCCCAGACTCCCGAAATTAACCCATTTCCATTATTTTATATTTTACCATGAGGCTTGTGGCCTACCAGCAAGGTTTCAGCATATGTGTCTCTGGTCGCAGCTCCATGGCTTCTCCCTTACTCTGCCTCCTTTCTCCCAGCATTCAGTTTAGTTTTCCTCACCTAGCTCTGCTCTACCCTATCATAGGCCCAAAACAGCTTCTTTATTAACCAATGGTATTCATGGCATACGAGGGGAATACCACATCAGTAATGTCTATCCTTGATGTCGAGTTGTGTTTCTTGTATGCAAGATGGATCCTGTTTTCACATCCATTCTGTTAGTCTATGTCTTTTTATTGGGGAATTGTGTGGTGGTATATTATTTGTGTTTTAATAAATAAAGCTTGCCTAAAGATCAGAGGGCAAAGCAGTCATACAGGCCAGGGAGTGGTGACTCAGGAGACAGAAGCAGACGGATCTCTATGAGTTCAAGACTACCCTGCACTATCCAAGATGGATCTAGAAACAGATCCAGGTGGTGGTGGGTTCACACCTTTAATCCCAGTGTTCGGAAATCACACACTCCCAGTACTAAGGAGGTGCAGACAGGAATGATATGGCTGGGCGCAGAGAGGAATATAAAGGGGGAGAGGCAGGAACTCAGTGTAGTGTGGAGTCTGAGGATTCGTGGAGACAGACTCTCGCCCTTTCAATCTGAAGATCTGGTAGAGGTAATAGGTCTCTCTAGTAGTTGGCTGCTTTACTCTTCTGATCTTCAGCATGAACCCCAATATTTGTCTCTGGGTTTTTATTTTTGTGCTACAGAATTGAGTTCATTGATACTGAGAGATATCAATAATCAATGATGATTGTTAATTTCTGTTATTTCGTTGATAGTGGAATGGTGGTGTTTGTATGTATGTTTGTGTGTGTGTATGTGTGTGTGTGTGTGTGTGTGTGTGTGTGTGTGTGTGTGTGTGCACAAGCGCATATGTTTCCCTTCTTTTGGTGTTGTAGGAAAATGCTTGTTTGTTCCTGGCTGCCCAGACTCCCGAAATAATCACTCAGAAACTGTATTAATTAAATCACTGCTTGGCCTTTTAGCTCTAGCTTCTTATTGAATAGCCTTTACATCTTAATTTAACCCATTTCTATTAACCTGTGTATTGCCAAGTGGCTGTGACTTACTGGCAAGTTTCCATCCGGCATCTTTCTCGGCGGGGATACAAGGTTTCTCTCTGACCCCACCTTCTTTCTCCCAGCCTTCAGGTCAGTTTTCCCTGCCTAGATCTGTTCTGTCCTGCCAGAGGCTCAAAGCAGTTTCTTTATTCATTAACCAATAAAAGCAACACATATACAGAAGGCCTTCCCACATCATTTTGGTTTTGCTGGCGTAAGATTATTTATTTCCTGTGTTTTCATGGTTGTGGTTAACCTCCTTGGGCCCAAGTTTTCCTTCTAGTACCTTATATAAAGCTGGATTTGTGAATAGATATCGTTTAAATTTGACTGTATCATAGAACGTCTTGTTCTCTTCATCTGTGGTGACTGGAAGTTTTTCTGCATATAGTAGTTTGGGCTGGTATCTGTAGTCTCTTCGAGTCTGCAGGACATCTGCCCAGGCCCTTCTAGCTCTTAGTTTAGAGTCTCCATTGAGAAGTCAGGATAATACTAATAGGTTTGCCCTTATATGTTACTTGGCCTTTTCCCTTGCAGATTTTAATACTCTTTCTTTGTTCTATATGTTTAGTGTTTTGATTATTATGTAGCAAGGGGGAATTTTCTTTTTTGGTCCAATCAATTTGGTGTTCTGTAAGCTTCTTGTACTTTTATAAGCATGTCCTTCCTTAGGAAAATTTTCTTTTATGATTTAATTAAAAATATTTTCTTGGCCTTTGAGCTGGAATTTTTCTCTTCTATTCCTACTATTCTTGCGTTTAGTCTTTTCATAGTGTCCCAGATTTCCTGGAATTTTTATGTCAGGATTTTTTTAGATTTAGCATTTTATTTGATTGAGGTATCTATTTCTTCTATTATATCTTCAATGACTGAGCTCTCTCTTCCATCTCTTGTATTCTGTTGGTGGTGTTTGTTGTGGTGATGATGTCTGTAATTCCTCTTTACTTATCTAGATTTTCCATTTCTAGAATTCCCTGTATTTTCTTTATTGCTTCTATTTCCAGTTTCAGGTCTTAAACAGTTTTATTTGTTTTCTTCAACTGTTTTATTCTTGACTATCTTGAAGGGATTTATTCATTTCCTCTAATTTTTTGGTTTTCCCTAGATTTTTAAAGAGATTTATTAATTTCTTCTTTAAGGACCTTTATCATTTTCATTAAACTGTTTTTGTTTTGTTTTGTTTTGAGGTTTGGGCAGGGCAGTTCAAGACAGGGTTTCTCTGTAGCTTTGGAGCCTGTCCTGGTACTCAGCCTGACCTAGAACCCACAGAGATTCACCTGCCTCTACCTCCCGAGTGCTGGGATTAAAGCGTGTATCACCACCACTTGGCCGTAAAGTTGGTTTTAATGTTGTTTCCTTGTGCTTTGACTGTGTTGGAATACTCAGGGCTTGCTGTAGTCGGTAACAGGGTTCTGGTGGTGGCATAATGCCCTGGCTGTTGTTAATTGTGTTCTTACACTGGCATCTAGGCATCTGGGTTTGGGGTGATTATAGGTCTAGGTACCAATTTCTGAGTTTGCCTTTGTTGGATGGGTGTTTTGTTCTCTTAGTTTCTGTTTCCTCTCTGGTCTTCTGGCTGGAGTGGCCTGTGGTTGAGTAGGTCAATCTCCATCCAAGTTGGGGGCTGGAATTATGATGGCTGCGGTGGCCTCTGGCCGAGTAGGGATTTTCTACCTGAATTGGGGCTGAAGTTCTGGCAGCCATTGTGTCCTTTGGTCCAGCTGAGGGTCCTCTGGAGGTCAGGATATGTTAACAAGGAGGGGAGGGCTAATTCTGGGTGGGCTGGGCAGGCCCTGAGAAAGTAGAGGGGGCACTTGCCTAGGGTTCTGGCTGCCAGCTTGGCCTCTGGTGGAGCAGGTGCTTCCACTGGAGTTTTGGGCTGGGATATCCTGAATATTTACTCTTATAGGAAGAAATGCCTATTTAACTTATTTGTGCTATTGAGTTTACATATGTGTAGTTACAGGCTGTGTTTATTGTTACAGGTTGATGAAACTACTCAAAGTTTGATGACAGACTGTCTGATTATAAAGCGTTTTTTACGAAAAATCATCATAGTTCATCACAAGGTGAAGTTATATATTCTTTAAATAGTATCAATTTATCCATAGTTTCTTTAAATCAAAAACAAAACAAGAAACTCACTTAGTAGCCCTGGCTGGTCTAGATTTTGCTGTGGAGACCAGGCTGGCCTAGAACTCAAAGGTCTGCCTGCTTTTGCCTTCTGAATATGGGATCAGTGTGTGCACCCCCATGCCAGGCCCACCTTGGTTTAATTTTGGTTTATCATGAGCTTTAGATTTTCTAGTTTAGAGGAACATACTTTTTTTTTTTTTAGATAAGACCTAATGATTCTCTAAATTGCATAGCCATCTGTTGTAGTGGTTCCTTTTTTATCTCTAGTCTTATCCATTTGAGTCTTTTCTGTTGGTTAGTTTGGCTAGGACTATACATCTTGTTTATCTTCTCAAAAATCCAACTATGTATATTTTTTGATTTTCATGTAGTTAATGTCTGCCCTGATTGTAAGTGACTTCTTTCCTTCTGTTGACTTGGGACTTGTTCTTTGTCTGGATTTCTAACGCATCCTGTTAAGTCACTTGAGATCATTCTGATTTCTTACTATAGTCGCGTGGAGCTTTAAACTTCTCTAGGACTGCAGTCCCACTCATCTCAGTATGTTGTGCTCATTTTCATTTGTCTCGAGGAACGTCTTTAATTCCTTCTTGTAAGGCCATTCATCATTTAGTAGTGTTTTGTTTGCTCTCCATGAGTCTATGTGTTCTAGGGTTTTCCCTGTTGTAGGGGTGTAGTGTTAGTCCATTGTGATCAGATAGAACACAAGGAATTAGCTCAGTTTTCCTGTATTTAAGACTTTGTGTCAGTGAATGGAATATTCTGTAGATCTCTGTTAAGTTCATTATCTATGATGTTATTTGGTTCAGATTATCTATTCTTTTGCTTAGATTGCCTATCTATTGGTAAGAGTCTTAAAGGTACCCACTACTATTAATCTGTGATTTTACATCTAGTTACATTTGTTTTATGAAACTGTGTGCACCTGTATTTGGAGCATATAAGTTTAAAATGTTATATTCTCTTGACAGTTTTTTTTTCCCTAATTAGTGACCTCATGTGTTTTTTCTCACTAATTTTTGTTTGAAATCTGTTTGGTCAGATATTAGAAGGGTAACACCTGCTTGTTTCCTAGGTGCATTTACTTGGAACACCTGACTTTCAACTTAAGGGTGAAGTTGCTGTTTTTTGAGGTGAAGTTTGTGGAGCCAACAAACAAATGATTCCTAGTTATTGGTCCAATCTACTGGTCTTTTCCTTTGGGGGGAAACTGAGACCATTCATATTCAGAGTTACTAATGAAAGGTGTGTATTGATTCCTATCATTTTATTAATTTTGTAGTACTTGTTTTTCCTATTTTTCTCTTGCTTAACTATTATTCTGATGTAGTTTATTTGTGTGTGTGTGTTTATTTGTGTGTCTTTTTGTCTGTCTGTCTGATGGTATTTTATTCTTACTTATCTTTGTCCTTATTGAATTGGTCCAGTTTCTCCACTTTGTCTTCAAGCACAGACATTTTGTTCTCTCCATGACTTATTGTATTGAAGAGACTTTCCATAGTTCTTTTATTTAACTTACTTTGTTTTTTTCTAGTGTTTCTGCTTGTTTTTCTTGAGTATGCCTTTTTGTGGGTTCCCTCTTTTATATCATACATTGCCTTCCTGATTTCATTCATCTGTTGTGTCTTTGAGCACTTATGATCATTCTTATGAGTTCTGTCTAGGAACTCATTTATCTCACTTTCCTTAGATGGAATTTTATAGGATTAGTAATTTTGGAGGTGTTATCATGTCTTAGTCTTTTCTATTTACTTTGCTACTGCATTAGGATTTATCATCTGGTGTTATTTCATTGCTTGTTTTTATTTTTAATCAGCTACATTGCTTCAGTTGAAGTGTTCACAATTTTCAAGTAGGACTCTGATGTGATAGAGTTCAATATATACTTCAGAGAATAATACCTCAGTCCAGGAACTCAAGGGTACCTGGCGTAAATTCTGTATTCTTAGGATTTTAACTGGAAGAGCAACCACAGCTCAGCTGTTTTATATTGCTATGCAAATGCCATTCTAGCCAATTAACTACAGTATTCCCTTACTTCATAATTGCTGGAGATAAACAACCAAGAATGGTATGGAAACCTACTCAGATTTTAGTCAGAAAAATGAGTTGGGAGCAAGAGAGATTGTTCCATGGTTAAGCACACATTGTCTTCCCTACCACTTCTGATATTTTGTAAAATTATGAGCAGTATGTGCTTTTGCAAGAGGACCTGAGTTCAGTTCCTAGCACTCATATCAGGTGACTCATAACTATTTGTAACTCTAGCTCCAGGGGATCTGACACCCTCTCTGGCCTCTGGTGGCACTGCACCAAAATGAATATATACAGATAATTCAAAATTTTTAAAGTCGATTTGCAAAAGATTAGAAGTGGGAGAGAAGGAGAGTGGGTAAAGATAAGAAGTAAGGATGAGATTTTGAAAATAACTGATGCAGATAAAGTAGCTGGGAGGGGGAAGTTGGAATTTTTATATCTGGAAGATTACAGTTAAGATGTACAAGGAGAGGGTGAGGATGAGAGAAAAAGGAAGAGAAATGGTGCAGGATGGGGGTCGGGGGAGCATAAGAGATACCGGCGAAGAACACAGTAAAGTATGTCCTGGAGCAAGCTGGGTGAGAAGCATAAACAATTGTAAAACCAAACTGAACAATACAAACAAAAGCAAAACAGTCCCAAGATATACATGCAGAGTAAGAACCAGCAGAAAGTAAGAAGTAAGAGTCTTTCTCTGTGGAGCAAACTGCTTGCCCAGCTGTGCTGAACTGAAAAGGAAGCACTCAGATTTCCTCTGACTCCAGCAGGTTCTGTGTGGTGCTGTGGGGGCCAGGGTGAGGGGCATTGGTTTCTGAGCCTCAGTGTTAGCAGGGGGTCTGGTCTGTGCAGGAGGGGAGGTTTTAAATCCTTTTCTGGTGGTTCCCTGGGATCCCTGCACTCCACTGAGGCCTCTTCTGGTTCTGCAGGTTTGGGTGTTTGAGCAACAACACTTCTCTGGTAGTTTCTACTTCTCTGTGTGGATGTTTTTAAATCTCAACCTTGACTAGGATGAAATCTTACCCTTCATTTTTTGTTTTGCAGCTCAAGTTTAATTTCAGTTTAATGGTGAATGGGATCCTCTCTGCAGAGATCTTTGGGTCTGTAAACGATTTTATGGCTCTGAATGACTTTTAAGCATGATTGCCCTGTGCTTCTAGCAGGTTTACAGTTTGATTTCTTAGTCCAAAATCTCCTTGAGACTAATCCTGAGACCCTCACATATTCTTAGTTTTTAACAAATAAATATGTTCGTCCCTTTCATGTTTCTCCTTTTCACTGGGGGGAATGAGCATAAAAGTTGTGGTTTTCCTTTTGGTTTTTGGTTGCTGAATTCCAGTGATCTCTGGGTGTTAGTGTCATGAGCCAACTAGAGACTAATTTGAAAGATGACTTTTTTTTTCTTTTGTTTTGCAGGGCAGAGAACGAGCCTCTTTTGAGACTCTCCAATGGCATCACCCTTGTTGTGGGCGTTCAGCATTATGTGAGGTAGAAGCTGGAAATGATCTCCATGCCTTTTCCTTTCTTCTCTCTCCTCCTCTCCTGCAATTCCCCTCCTCTTCTCTCTTCTTTGCTTGTATTTCTTTTGTTTAGAAGAGAACTGTGGGGGGAAACAAATCAACCGCCTTCTTTGTTGGAGAGGATGAGAGTTTAATTTTTCTCATTGTTCTGATTTAACAGCGATCTCAGGCCTGTGCAGAGGGAAGAAGACTCTCGGGTGTCATGGGGTCAGTTTTAGACCATTTGCTCACAATCCCCACACAATGCTGGTCTTTGAATGCTTTTGGAAACACATGCTTGGCACCGTAGAGTATAATTGTATTGGAGAAAATACAATTTGAGAATAAGCAACTATCATGAGAGATAACATAAACAGGAGCCATGATAATAGTCTTTGGAATGCTAATTTTTCTGATCTTATGCAGATAAGATGACATGGCAGGCCATAGGGCTATGTATATCCTGAGCAGTTAAGGAATTTTAAATGCCCATTAAATAACTTCTTGAAGAAAAAAGTCAAATTTGCCTTGTATGTTTTTTAATAGTAAGCCAAAACTGAATTCAGCTGAATCGCACTGCAGCAGAATCCACCCTGTGCTAGGGCATCCAGCTCTACTGTCCATCCCTGATGGCATGGCTGATGTGGGCCTGTTGGGAAAACTGGCGCTGACTCCAGCTGCTGCTCTGTGCCCAAGCCAACGGGATAGGATTTCTTCGGTTTCCATATCCTTTTGACAGGTTCTATCCAATTGCCTTTGAAGATGAATTTTTTAATTCTAATTTTAGGCAAGTCTTAATATGAATTATTTATCTGTAACTCTGTATGATTTGTATAAAAGTATAACCCAGTGTGAATGTTAGGCTTGAAGTATTTGCCAAAGAACAGTCGACTACAACAGATAGTGAAAGGTAGACATGAGACCAGAAAAAATGGTTGGGGTTGAGGGTGGTAGAGTTTGCATACCTTACTAAGGAATGTGATCTGCATTTCCTATGGTTGACAAGAGTAACTCACACAGCACGTTCAGAGTGCTCTAGGAGAAAAGGTAGTAATTACTAAATAAGTGAGTGAAGTGGAATAAGAGCTAGTAAGTCCTGAGTTAAAACTATGTGTTTAGGCAAAAGTTAACACCTGAAGAACTTCACATAAGAAAACCAGTATTCATTACTGAAGTTGGGAGAGCCTGGGGAAGGAGTGGTTTTGTTGGTTTGTTTTTAAGACAATCTCTTTTATATTCCAGGCTGAATTCAAACTCCTTACTGTTAGATGTTCTTAGACTTATGATCCTAATGCCTCCGTCTCCCAAGTGCTAAGATTGTAGATGTGAGCTACCACCCCTGGTTTATCCCATGAGTAAATATTCTATGTGCCTTGTTGACACTGGGACACGGGTATAAATGCTGTGTGACAGAAGCAGCTGATTTAAACAGCCTAACTCTGCTTCCTCAGCTTTAAAGCAAAAATGAGAGCATCTCGTGGATTGATTTTTCTCCTGTTGTGGTGGAGAACTATAGTCCATGTGAAGCTCCTCACACAGGGATGTACAACCCGTGACTGTGATGTCATGTGACCTGGGATAGCTACAAATGTGGCCCAGCACAAAGTTGTAAACTTAATTAAAGTATCATGAGTTTTAAGTTTTTGTTTTTGTAACAGTGGGAATTTTGTAGATGACCATATCATGTTGCAGCACCATACAAAATAAATGTGTGTGTGTGTGTTGTGTAGGCATGAATGACTTCAATTTTCTGGTGGTGTATAGCTCCTCAGGTTACCTTCCATGTGCACAGTCAAACTGGGACCATTAGACATTACATGCTTTCAGTGACTAGACAAGTGGGTTGGGTCAATTATATATATATTATAGAGAGAGAGACATAAATATATATAAATAAATATATAGATAAATATATTATTTATATTTATATTAAATATTATATTATAAATATATTAAATATTATATATATATATATATATATATATATATATAGAGAGAGAGAGAGAGAGAGAGAGAGAGAGAGAGAGAGACAACGTTTCTCTATGTAGTCCTGACTATCCTGGAACTCACTCTGGTAGAGTCTGGTTTCCAACTCACAGAGCTCTACCTGCCTCTTCTTCCCAATTGCTGGGGTTAAAGACATGCACCACCACTGCCAGACCTGATTAGTAATAATATTTTAACTCATCGTTGTAAACCAAGTAAATGTTTTTGACTATTGTGGGTCTTTGCTCACCTCCTTCTGCCGCATCAATCTCCCACTGTGCTTCATAGTCAGTTCCCTCTCACTTCACCAAAGAGCCAGACACAAATCCACACACTTATGGTGGACCCCTGATTTTTGACAAAGGTGCCAAAATTATCCAATAGAAAAGGAAAGCATTTTCAACAATGGTGCTGGTCTAACTTGATGTCAGCGTGTAGGAGAGTGCAAATTGATCCATATCTATCACCCTACACAAAACTCAAGTCCAAATGGATCAAAGACCTCAACATAAATCCAGATACACTGAACCTGTTAGAAGAGAAAGGGAGAAATAATCTCAAACACATTGACACAGGCGATAACTTCCTGAATGGAACACCAACAGTACAGGCACTAAGACTGACAATTAATAAATGGGACCTCATGAAACTAAAACATCTCTGGAAGGCAAAGGACACTGTTGACAGGCAGCTGAAATGCAGAAAGACCTAGACTTTGCTTTCTGTTTTTCTGTCCGCTAATTTTCATGATAGAAGTAAATGCTGTCCCCTCTTTATTACCATTATTTTAATTCCAGTGTGGCCTCTACAGTGGCCCTAGAAAACCCCAAAATTATGGATGAATATTGTTCAACACAAAGTAGATGACCATTTTTTTTGTCAAGGCAAATATCAGTGCTGTTATATAACATATGCAGGATAGTGTTCTAACGAGAAAATTTAGATGGCATTGCCAGACTGCCAGAGAAAATCTCCAGGCTGCAGAGCAGGCAGGGACGCTCATCTCGAGTCTGGTGGGTCTAAGATGAGATGATTTGAGTGCCAGTCAGCTAGAACTTACAAGAAAACTGAAGAGAAATGCACGAATACAGAGCTGCAGACAGGCCAGTGCTGGCCTACACAAAGCCAGGACAGTTTCTGTCCCCATCAGGCTAAGCAGAAAAATTCACATTTCATGGCATCAGATTGGAGTTTTCCTGAATAATGGGAGGATCCTTGGAGCCCACTGGCTGTCCAGTCTCACTGACAAATTTGAGGCCAACCAGACGCTGTCTCAAAACAGGGTAGATGGTATCTGAAGAATGGCAGCCAAGGTTGTCCTCATGCACACAAAATGAAGACAAGGGCTGGTCCTGATGGTTCATTCCTGTAATCCTAGAACATGGAATCCTGGAGCTGGAAAATGCCTGGGATACAGAGTGAGACCCTCCCTGCAAGAATCCCCACTGCCAAACAAAACCAGTGGATTCAAGATTGAGACTTTCTCAGACATTCAGAAGAGTCAGGAACTCACTAGGAAGCAGTATTAGAAAAATGCTTAAAGAAATCCTTCAAATTTTGTATTTTTTTGAAGCCTGTCCTAAAACTCACTCTGTAGACCAGGCTGGCCTGGAACTCACACAGATCTGCCTGCCTCTGCCTCCCAAGTGCTGGAATTAAAGGCGTGTGCCACCACCGCTAGGCAAAATTTGTATTCTTTAGCCATGTGGTGGTGACATGCACACCTTTGATCCCAGCACTCAAGAAACAGAGGCAGGCAGATCTGTGTGAGTTCCAGACCAGCCTGGTCTACAGAGTTCCAGGATATCATGCACTACAGAGAGAAACCTTGTCTCAAAAATAAAAAAGTATTCTTTGACAGTTTCATGCATGTATATCTTAATCTACCTCCAAATCTTACTTAACAACAATAACATGGGACCAATCAGGAAGAAATGGAAGTGTATTATTAGATTCTTCTATATTTGTCAACTGTTGAATCCTGATAAAATTTTAAAGTCTGAACCAGTGAGTCATGACTAATATGTCAAAACAGAGATAGAATACTGAATCCAAAATAGAATCCAAAAATAGTAAAGAGAGCAAATGGAAACCATATAACGAGCAGATAGATTAAGTCCAACCATGACTGTATTCATATTAGATGTGAATGGTTTGGAGTGTCCAGTTAAGGGCTGGTAATACAGTTCAGTTAGTAGACTGCTTGACTAGAGTGCTCAAAGCCTTTCATGTGGGCTCCAGTGCCATATAAACTGGCTATAGTGGTAAACACCTGTAATCTCAGTGCTCAGGTATTGAATACAGGATCAAAAGTTCAAGGTCATCCTTAGCTACATAGTTTGAGGCCAGGCTAGGCTACATGAAACCCTGTCTCAAACAGGGAAGGGACTGAAGAAACGGCTTAGTGGTTAAGAACACTGGCAGCTCTTCCAGAGGATCTGGGTTCAATTTCCAGTTCCCACATAGCAGTTCACAACTGTGTTTAACACCAGTTATAGGGGAACCAACGCCCTCTTCTGGCCTTTATAGGCACTGCATGTATGTGCCACACAGCTATACATGCAGACAAAACACCACACAAATAAAATAAAAATAATTTTTAAAAATAAAACACCAGCTGGGTGATGGTGGCACATACCTCTAATCCTAGCACTCAGAAAGTGGAAGCAGGTGGATCTCTGAGTTCAAGGCCAGCCTGGTCTACAGATTGAATTCCACAACAGCCAGGGCTATGCAGAAAAAATATCAAATCATAAGGCAACCATATGCTTGGACTCCAGACACTCTATTTTTTATTCTTCACATTGTATGTGAAGTAATTTAAAGACCCTCTGTCCCTGAGCAATAAGTGTAGTGGCCTTAGTTTCTATGTTAATGCCTGCTTAGATCTGTGAGAGAGGCTTTGAGATTTCAGTCTCCCTTTGTTCTCTGACTTTCCAAAACGTTTCATTCTATAATAGATAGACATCCCCTTGCCCAACAACGAGCACCTGTCTCTCACCATCAAGTGCTGATACACATCAAGAAATCACATTCAGGGCATGAGCAGAGTCCAGAGGGGAGAGATTATTTCAAGGCCTTTGTCTTGGTTGAAGAATAGGGTTAGGCCGGCAGTGGTGGTCTACGCCTTTAATCCCAGCACCTAGGAGCTGAGGCAGATGAATCTCTGAGTTTGAGGCCAGCCTGGGGTACAGAGTGAGTACCAGGACAGATTCCAAAGTTACACAGAGAAAAAAACAAAAGAATAGGATTGTGTAAAGTGAGAAGTTTCTCTCAATCCAAATACACTCAATTACTTTCTAGAAAACACTCCTTTGTATGCGGTTCTATACAAGTGTGCACTACCTTGTATTGCAATTTACTAGGTTTTTTGTGTGTAGCACACTAAAATATGGAAAACTTGAGCACAGATACTAGTTACTCATCTTCATACGTCTAGAACCTATCATTGTGTTTAGCTTGTGATGCCACTCACATTTATGATCAGATGAATAAGATCAATCAATAAATTGTCATTCAGTTACCCCCTGCAAAAATCCGAGGATCCCGGTAGAGCTCCCGTGCATCATACCCATCTGTAATTTGGAAAAAGATAAACATGTAATTGTATATCATATGTGTATATTCCTGTGGTGTGAACCAGGCCAATTTGTAAGTTTGTTTTATATGAGTACGTAGTTGTAAGAAAAGTTTGACAGTTTTCTTTAGCAGTTATACATATTTCTATACGGACCTTTGGGTCTGCCTCTGATATCAGGTCAGGAGCAGCCATGTATCACTGTCTTCAGAGATACCTCCTATTTCATTGACTGGAAGAAACACAATTTGTTTATGGTGCCCACTTTGGATCTCAATTTGGATACAGGTATGTATTTTGTACCAAAATTTAGAAACACAAAGAATTAGAGAAATGAATATATAAGCAAATGTCTGTGAAAATAGAACCTAGTAATATACTGGCTGAACAAGAGGATGGGGATCTGACCTCATTTGAGAGTCCACTTAGAACAAAGCAGAGTGTCCCACACAAACTCAGTGAGGGCCTGCTTGGCATGGAGTCTGACACTTTTCTCTCACTTCCGCTGGTGCCTCTCTATCTCATACTTTTCTTGGAAGGCTTCTGTCATACTTTCATTTATCAGTTTGGGAGCTTCAGAAGAGTGGATGAGGGAACAACAACCCTTCTGTACGTGGAAGAGAAATGATTCCTACTGAAATGAGTGTTAGTACACAGAAAACTACTTGAAGAAATTAAATGCAGCTGGGCCATGGAGGCTCACCCCTTTAATCCCAGCACTCAGGAGGCAGAGGCAGGTGAATCTCTGTGAGTTCGACAAGAGCCTGGTCTACAAGAGCAAGTTCCAGGACAGGCTCCAAAGCTACAGAGAAACTTTGTCAAGAAAAAGAGAAAGAAAGAAAGAAAGGAAGAAAAATTAAATGCAACACAAATGCCAGCTGCAAGAGCAGTAAGCGGCCGGTACTCATATAGGGTCTAACCATGTTAATTTTGGGTAAGTTGTACTAAATGTTGAAAGGTTGGTACCAATGAGATGGTTCAGTGGGTAAAGGTACCTGCATCCAAGCCCTGACGACCTGAGTTTTTTCCCTGGTAGGTACAAGGTAGAAAGAGAGCTCTAGCTTGCATGTTGTCCTCTGACTTCCACACATGCACCATGGCATATGTATGTGCAAACACAGACACATAAATTGATTAGCATACTTATTAAACTGAATGGTTAGTGACTGGATCACAACTGGGGAGTAGGGCTGCAACCATAGCGAAGGTCTTGGAGGTTTATAGTTCTGCGCTTGTCTATTGTAATGGCCAGCAGAGGAAAGGATGTTCTAGGATTTTCACTAGCATGAAAAGATTGCTGCATCTTAGGATAACGCAGCATCTTGAAGGTATCTAAGAAATCAGCCTCCACAGAAGGGTCTTTGTTCTTGAGAAGACAGTTATCCAGAAAATGGTATGAGAGGATGCATCCTAGGACAGTCTCTGGAGTAAACCGTTTTGAGAGGAAATGATTTGCAGTCTTAACAGGTGGGATGTCATGGGTCTTGACTAGAAGGAAGGCCTAACCGGATTTCTGGGATCTTATTTTAGAAAAGCAATTGAGATTGGATCTCATTGTAGCCTATGCTTGATTGAACCCAGAGTTTCATTATGCTAGGCAGCACTCTACCAACTGAGCTACAGCCCTCGCCCTCATTATCTTTTCGCCACTTTCATTTTTATTCTTAGACTTTATTGATTTCCATTGTTTCTACAGTTTACAGTGTCAACTCTGGTCAGTTAACTTTGTAAATGAATAATACAGGAAAACACCCTCATTTCTCACATTTATTTCTTCTTTGTCTTTTGAGACAGAGTTACACACTGTCAAAATGTTTGACATAGGCTGTCCTTAGCTTGCTGTAATCCTCCTTGTACTAGTATTTGGTTTCCCAAGTACTAAGATTATAGGAGCATGCTGCCACACCATGCTCTGTCCTGTAGTTCTTAAAGGACAGAACTAGGATCCACAGGGAGATACCCTTCCTTGTGGATATGGGTGTGGGACTACCGTTTTGGAATTTTAAAGGGTGCATCTAGCATTAAGAACACAGATTTGGAGTTGATCTGGCAAGGCCGACAACTCAGTTCTACCATTCACAAGCTCATACTGGACAAGGCATTTTACCAGACTGTGCCTCTTTTCTTACTTGTAAAATGTTGTAGCAATAGGTCTTCCTCAAGAGTGTTATGAAGTCTAAATCTTGAGAAAGGACATACAAGGAATTTAGCATGGCACCTGGCTGCTTATAGTACGTTACCTGGAATATCATTACTCAAGTTGAAATTTGACCTCTGCCTCTTTGTAGCCAGACCTACCTTAGAAGGTTCACAAGAAGGGGCTTGAGAGACAGCTCAGTGGTGGAGACATTTGCTGCTCTTGCGGAGGACCTGGGTTCAGTCCTCAGCACCCACATGGTAACTCACACCTGTCTGTTACTCCAGTTCCAGAGGATCTGACAGCCTCTTCTCATCTCCACAGGCACTGTGCACATGCAGTACATATACACAAATACAAGCAGAACACTGGCACATAAAATAAAAATTAAAAAAAATATTTGGACTAGAGAGATGGCTCAGTGGTTAAGAGCACTGACTGTTCTTCCAGATGGCCCAGTTCTAATTCCCAGCACCCACATGGCACCGCACAACTGTCTGTAACTCCATTTCTAGGGGATCTGACACCCTCACACCAATGCTTGTTAAATAACTTATTTGAAGGAAGGTCCACAAGATGTCCAGGTGTGGTGACCACGCCTTTAAGCCCAGGACATCGGAGGCAGAGTAGGTGAATTATCTGAGTTCAAAACCAGCCTATAGTATCCGAGCTACTACATGTATCATGGTCCTGTAGTACCTGTACTACAATACTACGCCTGTAGTGTACCACCTGCACTACGGGATGGTTCACGAGCCAGGCACTGGAGATTCACACACACACATACACACAGAAACAGGGACATGGGTCCTCCTTGAATTCCCCAAGAATGCCCCCTTTAGTGTGGTGCAGGGCAGCTTATATAGGGATCCTTAACTGATAGTCACGCCCCAGCCAAACCCACCAGAAACCACTCCCCTGCCATCAGAGCAGGTGCAACACAGGAAAACAAGTTGTTTTGCTCAGAGCAGCTGCAAGCATAACAAGTTGTTTATAGGAAATTCAGGGTCTGGGGATCCACAGCCCCCAACAAGCCTGGTTTACATATCAAGTTTCAGGCCCAGCAGCACTACATAGTGAGAGCCTTTCAAAAATGGAAAAAAAAAGTTACACAAGAAATAAATGATTTTTTTTTGTGTAATGCTTCCATAGTAAATGCACAAGGCTGCTATTTCCCTTGCATTTTACATACCTGGATATTTTAATGTTCTTCATGTAAGTCATTATTATTTTTGTTTCCACAATGTGGGTGGAGAAGCAGATTCAGGAGTGGAACTGACTGTTTGAATGTAGACCTAGTAGTTCCTTCTCAGTCACAATATGGTTCTGTATCACTCAGGGTATAAGGGGCTTGTTTACCTTATAAATTCTTCTGTTATCTTTTTCTTTAGATTTGGTGATTCCAGATGTGAGTTATCAAGTGGAGTCCATTGAGGGAAATCAGTCTCAGGATATGGACTCAGAGGGGCCAGCTCTGCTACTTTTCCTATTTGTAGATTTTCACAGTGGATTCCCAGTCCAGCAAGCAGAAGTCTGGGGTATGTTTGAGAAAATACAGCAACCAGGTTGGGTGTGCCAAGTGCTAAGTGGATAAAGAAAGGACTATATGAATAATGCATATATCTGTCTAAATTAGATAGTTGTGTAATATGTAAAGAATTATCACTGCCTTTCTAGATGAAATCAAGGGAAGAAGCCCGTCTCCATGTAAGTGCAGTTAGGGCTGCTTTGGTATGTGTCCAGCAGGTGCAGAGTTACCTGTTATCAGAAAGGTTCTCCTCCTTATGGGTAACATGGTGGTTTCCGCTTGTGAAACACAAAACATAAATACCCGAATCACCTATTTGAAGATGTACAACTTCCTAGGTCAAGTTAATTTATTATTTTTGCTATATATTGTAAAAATCTAGAATGACTGAAATACAAATTTACATCACTTGATTCTCAAGTTATCCTCAGATGTAGTAAAATTTGGAAGCCTTTTGAGTGTTTTAATCACATGCTTTAATTCAATGAACCCTGGGAAGTAAGTTTTTTTTTTAGATTTATTTATTTATTATGTACACAACATTCCTTCCATGTATGCTTGCATACCAGAAGAGGGCACCAGATCTCATTATAGATGGCTGTGAGCCACCATGTGGTTGCTGAGAATTGAACTCAGGACCTCTGGAAGAGCAGTCAGTGCTCTTAACCTCTGAGCCACCTCTCCAGCCCCTGGGAAGTAAGTTTTAAGAGTTGATAACACATTCCTAAACTGAGGAAATGTTGGCCCATCCTCATCACCAGCAAACAGAACCTATCTGGGAAAAAAAAATGCAGCTACCAAGAAATTGCACTTGATTCTGTTTTTTTTTTTTGTTTGTTTTTTGGGTTTTTTTGCTGTTTTGTGTGTCTGTGTGTGTGTGTGTGTGTGTGTGTGTGTGCCTAGAATTCCTTTTTAAGCTCTCTCAGGTTTTATGTGGATGTAGTCAGCCCCATATTGGGTGCCATTCTGATGGCAGAGGCTGCTTGTTTGTTTCCCAGCTACTCAGACCCAAATAATCACACATAAAACTGTATTAATTACAACTCTGCTTGACCAATAGCTTAAGCATATTTCTAGCTAGCTCTTACATCTTAAATTAACCCATTTCTAATAATCTGTGTATCATCACATGGTTGTAGCCTACCGGTAAGGTTCCATCTGGCATCCAACATCTGTCTCCTGCAGCAGCTACATGGCATCTCCCTGACTCTGCATTCTTTCCTCCTCTATCTCTGCTGTATTCTGCCCTGCTGTTAGGCCAATGCAGCTTCTTTATTAACCAACAGAATAAAACATTCACAGCATACAGAAGGAAATCCCACATCAAGGAAAGTTACAAGAAATGGCACCTAGACTTGCTTCAGGAAACGTCTATAAGCCTCCTTTTGGGTGCTCCTTCCTCCATGAGCTATGGAGGCTCCACAGAGCCTTCATTGTGTTCTTCACAGTATGGTGTTGGTTCCCCCTGCACCACAGGTGAAACAAGACTGCCTATAACCCAGATCGGAAGCTCTCAGTGACTGGTGCCAGATTTCGTGGCTGTCAAATATGAGATTAATTCTTCCTGTTACCTGCTTACTTTCCAAACCTCTTCCTCCCTTCCTGGTGTGTGCATTCCCAGAGGAGGAAGCACTGCTTTCCTGGGCTCAAACTGCCAACTTGGAAGCCAATGTTCTTTGGTGTCCCTGCTTCATTGATTAAGGTCAAGAGAATGGGAAAGAAAAGAGACTCAATGTAGCATGAATAATAAAAACCCAGAGACAGATAATGGGGTTCAAGCTGAAGAGCAGAAAAACAAAGTGCCAGCCACTGCCTCTTACCTCTACCTCAGACCGAAATGGGCGATCCTGCCTCCACGAATCCTCAGACTGGGACTAAAACTGAAACCTGTCTCCTCCCATCTTTTTTTTTTAATATTTATTTATTTATTATGTATACAATATTCTGTCTGTGTGTATGCTTGCAGGCCAGAAGAGGGCACCAGACCTCATTACAGATGGTTGTGAGCCACCATGTGGTTGCTGGGAATTGAACTCAGGACCTTTGGAAGAGCAGGCAATGCTCTTAACCACTGAACCATCTCTCCAGCCCCTGTCTCCTCCCATCTTATATCTCTCTCCAGTGCTGTGATTAAAGGCCTGTGCCAAGACTGCCTGGTCTGTATGGCTGACGAGTGTAGCTGCTTTGCACTCTGATCTTCAGGCCAGCTTTATTTATTAAAACACAAATAATATGCCACTATAACTCAGGGTTATGAAGTTCAAGATAGGGATTTTGGTGAGGATTCTAGGTCATATACCCACAGAGAAAACTGAGGAGGGGAGCCGTGGAAAGGACTTGGGGGTAGAAGTCAAACAGTTGGCTTTCCTTTGTGCTGATTCCAGCTTCCTTAGTGATGTTTAAAAATCAAGTCACATAAACCATCTGAGCCTCCCTTTCCAATCTCTAACACGAATTGTTAAACTAGGTAATAGCAAAGGCCCTTCAGAGGCTCAATGCCCACCTGAGACCTAAGATCTGTTACTTCCTGGCATTTTTAAACTGCTTGCCGGAGGATAGTTTGAATCTGACACCATGTTCTAAGTCCTATTTAACATATCCAAAGAACTCAGGTGCTCTAAAAACAGTTTGTGTTGTACCAGAACAATCTATATGCCTCTGGTTAGCATGTCTCCACAGGCCTGCAACTTCTCAGTAATTATACTCAGTTTTAGATTTAAAAATTCGCTGCTGCTGGGAAATGGTAGCACATTCCTTTAATCCCAGCACTAGGAGGCAGAGGCAGATAGATCTCTGTGAGTTCAAGACCTGGTCTACAGAACTAGTTCCAGGACAGCCAGGGCTACACAGAGAAACCCTGTCTCAAAACAACAAGAACAACAACAACAACAACAACAAAACACTTAAATATTCACTGCTAAAAAAAACAATAATAAAATAAATAAAAATCCAGGTGTGGTGGCACATGCTTTTTTAATTTTTATTTATTCATCTATCTATCTATCTATCTATCTATCTATCTATCTATCTATCTATCTATCTACCTATCTATTTATTTTTGAGAAAGGGTTTCTGTCTGTAGCCCTTGTTGTCCTGGAACTGACTCTGTAGACCAGGCTGGCCTCAAACTCAGAGATCCGCCTGTCTCTGCTCCCCCCACCCTCCAGTGTTGGAACTAAAGTTGTGCAACACCACCACTCACTGCGTGACGTATGTTTTAATCCCAACATTTGGGAGACAGGCAGGTAGATCACTGTGAGTTTGAAGGCATCCTGTCTACGTAGTTCCAGGCTAGTCTGAGCTAATAAGTGAGATCCTGTCTCAAAACAAAAATCACTGCCAGGTCTGAAGAGATAGGTCTGTGGTTAAGAGCAAGCACTGCTCTCGCAGAGGACCGGAGTTTGGTTCCCAGCACCTATGTACAGTGTCTTACAACTGCCTGCGTCTCAAGTTCCAGGAAGGGGTTTAACACCTTCATCTGGCCTCTGTGGACACCTGGAGGCATGTATGTATACATACATGCATGCATATATACAGACAAACATGAAGTTTTGAATTTTAAAAAGTAATAATTTTTTAAAAACTCCTTCAAAGTAACTAGAACAAAACCCTCCTTGGTTTAGGCCTCTGAAGGAGATACAACGAGGGACAGCAAGGCTAAGTTTGCCCTGTCTTTCACCATCCTTCCTTCTCCAGAGCTCTGTGCGGTAGGAAACAGATTGTGCAGAATTAGTCTGTGTTCATGTGTCTTTAAAAAAAAATCAGTCGGCTGGCCTCCCGCCCACCTTGTCATGGTAACTTCTATGATTAACTCCTTATTTTGCCACAGTGCCAAAAGCATCTGGTGGTAGGGACAGTTTTAGGAATAATTTTGCTTTGTTTTGTTTTTAATTAAATGTCTGCCTTCAAAAACTTCTCATTTCTTGGGTTCTTCTTGGGTCCAGAGTATATAAAATAGAATCTGCATGCTCTATCACCATGGCAACGGCAGTACTCCCCTTTGAACATTGCGTGTGTTTCAGAATACTTCATTTTACATGACCCCAGTTTATCTAGACAACATATCTGAGAGAACACTTAAGAAAAACATTTTCTGCACTGAAGTGAGAAGAGTGAAGTTATCTCATCACTAGCTGGTGATAAAAATAAAAAAAAAATAACCTCAAATCTATGCTCTCTTACTTCTAGTTCCAGATTCCTTTTAAGTCCACATATAATTTCTCACTCTGGAGAGCATTGGGGGGCCCCATGATAGAAGTGTTCCAACTCTTACCTTTTAAAACTCTGTGTGTGTGTGTGTGTGTGTGTGTGTGTGTGTGTGTGATATGTATGAATGAATTCTTCACCTATGTGTATGTATATCTGCCACCTGGATGCTTAGCATCCTCAGGTCAGGTCCCCTGGAACTGGAGTTACAGACAGTTGTGAGTCACCATGTAGGTACTGGGAATCAAACCCGGTCTCTGCAAGAACATGTGCCCTCACCTACTGAGCCACCTCTCCAGCCCCACATGTCAGTTTCTGAATGATGCTAAGCAGAGGTTACTTCATCTGAGATCACCCTCATTTTGCATATTTTAATTAGTTTGAGACAGGAACTTGTATGTCCCCAGACAGCCTCAAACTCACTGTAAATCTGAGGATGCCCTGGAACTCCTTATCCTCCTACCTCCATCTCCCAAAATGCTAGATTAGAGGTGTGTGGGAATCAAACCGAGGGCTGTTTACGAGCTAATCAAGCACTTTACCAATCGAGCACTCACACCCCATTTTAAATGGTCTTACATTCACAATTCCCAGGGTAATTTCTGTAAGTTTTAGCCTTTCCTTTAGCACAGAACATTGGAAAGAAATGTCACCTTGCAGAAAACTGGAGGTTCACTTAACAGTGATGCCCAAGTAGGAATGGAAGAGGTTAGACACTCTTAAGAGGCTTCCTTCTCCTCCAGAAGATACCACTATCATTTTTCATAGCATGGATTAAGCATTTATTTTTTCAAAAACAATGTAACTCATTTAATTTTCCTAAGCTTGCTTTCCTTTGCCATTGGGGCTTCAGAGGAGCTTTCTCTAAAAATCAGGGTGGAGAATTGGAAGCAGCTTCTTCAGGAGCACTACCCCAGTCCCAGGCCCAACACAGAGCATGTGCACAGAGGTCCTGAAAATGTGTCCTCACTCATGGCTCCCACCATTTTCATCCTCTTAGGACTCCACACTTGGCTCACAGATCATCTTAGTGCCATCCTCTCAGAGAGCCGCAGCACCGTGCAAGAGTCCATCCAGTCAGCTGTGGACCAGGTCTTGGAGCGACATCACCAGGCTGCCCAGGTAATAAATTACAACCTGGGAGTGTATAGGCCCCTTCGATGCGCCTTCCATTCTGCCACCTTGGTGAGGTCCTAATGCTGCAATTGGACAGGGACTTAAGCTCTCACTTAGACCCCTGCACCAGTTTGTGCTAGAGCAGCCACGGAGACAACAGCAACAAAACAACACAGCAGAATAACATGGCCGCCAGACCTCTTATTTTTTTTTCTTCCAAGACAGGGTTTCTCCGCATAGTCCTGGCTGTCTTAGAACTTGCTCTGTAGACCAGGCTGGACTCAAACTCAGAGATCTGCCTACCTCTGCCTCCCAAGTGGTAGGATTATCAGCATACACCACCACGGTCCAGCCATACCGCTTCTTATTTGTGCATCTTGATCCCACAAATTCTCTGGAGCTGATATTTCAATAAACCTTACCTCTTCCCTCATTTTCTCCATTCTTTCATAATGTCACACTTGCTTCTGCCCAGACTGAATTCTTCCAATCTGTGTGCTTTTGGTAATACATTTCCTACTTCCTGTGCCCACCCCTTGTAGAAAAAGCTGTTGACTGAAGAGCAAAGCTTAAAACTAAAAACAACAAAACAAATCTAAAATGGCTGAAAGACACTTAAGGAAATGTTCAACATCCTGAGTCATCAGAGAAATGCAAATCAAAACAACTCTGAGATTCCATCTTACACTTGGAAGAATGACCAAGATCAAAAACATTGATGACAACTTATGCTGGAGAGGTTGTGGGGTAAAGGGAACACTTCTGCATTGCTGGTGGGAATGCAAGCTGGTACAGCCCCTTTGGATGTCAGTGTGGCGATTTCTCAGAAAATTAGGAAACAACCTTCCTCAAGACCCAGTAATACCACTTTTGGGTAGATATCCAAAGGATGCTCAATCGTGCCACAAGGATATGTACTCAACTATGTTCATAGTAGCTTTGTTTGTCATAGCTAGAACCTGGAAACAACCTAAATGCCCCTTGACCGAAGAATGGATAAGGAAAATGTGGTACATTTACACAATGGAGTACTATACAGCAGAAAAAAATAACGACAGCTTGAATTTTGCAGGCAAATGGATGGAGCTAGAAAACATTATTTTGAGTGAGGTAACTCAGACACAGAAAGACAATTATCACATGTACTCATAGGTGGTTTTTAAACATAAAGCAAAGAAAGTCAGCCTACAAACCACAATCTCAGAGAACTTAGACAACAATGAGGACACTAAGAGAGACTTACATAGATCTAATCTACATGGGAAGGAGAAAGTAGAAAAAGACAAGCTCTCCTGAGTAAATTGGGAGCATGGGGACCTTGAGGGAGGACTGAAGGAGAGAGGGGAGAGGCAGGGAGGGGAGCAGAGAAAAATAAATAAAACAAAAACAAAAACAAATGTAACATGAGGGCCGGCTTGTTGGGGGTTTCTATCCCGCCCGGTACCCCACAGCCGGCAAATCCCAAAGAAAATCATACACAGGACTCCATAAGATTATAAAGCTGATTGGCCCATTAGGTCAGGCTACTTATTAGTTCTTATAACTTATGTTACCCCATTATCCTTATCTACGTTAGCCACACAGCTCAGTACCTTTCTCAGCTGGGCAGCTTACATCTTTCCTCTCCGGTGGTCTGGGCAGAACTGCCAGAGGGAGCTTCCTAGAATACTCCCAGTCTCTTTGCTCCACCTCTACTTCCTGTCTGGCTTTCCTGCCTATACTGCCTGCCTGGCCAATCAGCGTTTTATTAAAATATGATTGACAGAATACAGATAATTCTCCCGCACCAAACAAAACAACCAATATTAGAGCTAGGTCTGATCAATTCCTTATGTGACCACAGCACTTGGAAGGTTGAGGCAGGATGACTCAAAGTTAAAGGCCAGCCTGATTTATATAATGAGTTATGGACAGCCTAGGCCATAGTATGAGACACTGCCACAGAGTTAGGGACCATGAGATGCTCAGCTGTCAAAACACTTACTTGCCACACAACCTGATCAACTGCATTTGATTGCAGGGACTCATATAAAGGTGGTGTGAGAGAACCAACTCGGCGACCCCAACACATGCACTGTGGCATGTGCAGACCCACACGTCATGCACTTAAACAGTAATGCATTTAAAACAAAAATCAAATATTTGTTTTGTTTGCTTTTTCAAAGATTTGTTTTTAGAACTGGAGAGGTGGCTCAACAGTTAAGAGCACGGCTGCTCTTCCAGAGGACCTGATTTCATTTCCAGCACCCACAAGACAGCAACAATTGTCTGTAACGCCAGTTCCAGGGCATCTGTTGCCCTCTTCTGCCCTCTGCTGACACCAGGCACACATGTGATACACAAATCTTCATGCAGAAACACTCAAACACATAAAATAAATAAAAGCTGGGTGTGCAGGCACACACCTTTAATCCCAGGTCTCAGGAGGTGAAGACAAGTGAACCTCGGAAGTCAAGGCCAGTCTGGTACATACAGTGAGTTCCTAGCCAGTCAGGGCCACACAGTGAGGCCCGTCATAGTACATAGAAACAAACAATAAAATATTTTTATTATATGCTTGTGTGTGGATGGAGGCCACTGAAGCTATGTGACTGTGAGCTGTCTGACAAAAGTGCTGGGAACCAAACCTCTGCAATAGCAGTACTTGCTCATAACTGCTGAGCCATCTCTCCAGTGCCAAATATGTTTTACTCTTCTGTTTGTTTGGGAAACAAGGACTGATACAGCCTAGGCTAACTTCAAACTCTTAGTGGAAAGTGACCTTGACCTTCTTTCTGCTCCTCCTGCCTCCACCTCCTGGTCTGGGATTACAGGTATGTGCTTCATACCTGTTTTATTAAAATACCTGGTTTATTCTGTGCTGCTTCAGGGTCTCATACATGCTTGGCCAGCATTCCATCAATTGAGCCACATTCCCATCCCTACCCAGTGTCTTATTGTCTCTTCTTAGTATGTCACATAGTTATGCCATTTCTGGAAGAAGAGAATGTTTTGATCTGCAAATTTCTTGTCCCAACAGAAAACAGCAGCATCTTCTTATTGAGTGTTGGTGGTGGAACTGCTGCTGTTCTGCCTTGCCTTGAACCTTTCCCCTCTGGCATTCCAGAGCCAGTGCTTTGAGATAATATGGTTTCCTCCTTTCTCCAGGCTCATCAGAGACTGCAGGGCTCCCTCTCTGTGGCTGTGAATGCCATCACGAGTGTGCTGACTGGAAGCACCTGCAGCAGCTTCAGGAACACATGCCTCCAGGCTCTTGAGGTTAGTAGATGGGGGTGAGGTCAACAGACCACGCTGAGTGGTGCTCTTCAGCACGCCTACAACCCATACAGTGCTAGCAGAAACACCTTTAGTGCTAGTCTACTTAGTGCCAGCTTTGAGTGTTTTCAGAAGTATTTATTGGGGTTGGAGAGATGGCCCAGCAGTTAGGAGCTACTCTCCCACCGGGCAGTGGCGGTACACGCCTTTGATTCCAGCACTCAGGAGGCAGAGGCAGGCAAATCTGAGCTCCAGTGGTCTAGAGAACGAGTTCCAGGACAGCAAAGGCTACACAGAGAAACCCTGTCTCAAAGAATAATTAGTTAATTTTAAAAAGAATTTGTTGAAGGATAGCAGTATATATACTATTTTTTATAAATAAGAAAAGTTATTTAAGAGTTATGCTTCCTTTACATCACACAACTCACTCAGAGAGCTAGAATTAGATCCTTGATTCCCAGCTCCTTGTTGAAGATGACGTCACGACCTCCTGGTGATGTAACACACTAGAAACAACTGGGCAGACACAGCGCCATGTGTGTGAACAGAACAGGGTGTGATATAGTTTGACATCAGAGCTTGGGTGGTCAGTCAGTTCTTGACTTGTTACTTGCTACATGGAGTTGGGCCTATATATAACTTCTCTGAAACTTGTTGAAAAGTGTGGGGAAAATATGAGCCCCTCATGGCCTGGGGCCTAAATGTATGGTACAGTCTGAATGTTTGTATCATTCCAAACTCCACATGGTGAATCCTAACACTTAACATGCTACTCTTAGGCTACCACACCTAGCTCAAGATATTTTTTTTTGAGTCAGCATTTCTCTGTGTAGTCCTGGCTGTCCTGGAACTCATTCTGTAGACCAGGCTGACCTCAAACTCACAGAGATCCCCGTCTCTGCCTCCCTGATTACTGAGATTAAAGGCATGTGCCACCACCACCTAGCAGCTCAAGTTTTTGGAACTGTCAAGATATCTCAGGTAAAAGCATTTGCTGTCAAACTTGATCACAACTGAGTTTGATCCCTGAAGCCCACATAGTTGAAGAAAATAACTCTTGGCTGTTGCTACATTATTCTGTTTGTGTGTTAACAAAGAAGCTTGCCTGAAGATCAGAGTGCAGAGCTAAACCACAAGAGGCTTGGTGGTGGTGGAACACACTTTTATTCCCAGCACTTGGGAGGTGAAGGCAGGAAGGCTGAGTGGAGAGAGGAATATAAGGCAGGGAGAGACAAGAACAGTACAGGCTGGAGATGCAGTCTGAAGCAGTCAGAGGACACAATCTGAGGACAGGATTACCCTTTTGGTCTGAGGATTTGGTAGAAGTTAAAGGTCTCCCTAGTGGCTGACTGCACTGCTTCTCTGATCTCTCAGCTTTCACCCCCTAATATCTGACCCCGGCTTTTTTTTTTATAAAAACAATTAGAACTTGTGATACACTTGGAAGTTGTCATCCAACCTCCACATGTGCACTCTGTGGTTGTACATGTATATGTGTGCACTTGTACACATACACATACACACACACAAAGCAAATGTTTTCTTTTTGAAACAGGGTTTTTCTATGTAAAAAGTCCTGGTGTCTTGGAACTTACTATATAGACCAGGATGGCCTTGAAATCACAGAGATCCTCCTGATTCTCCCTCTCAAGAACTGGGATCAAAGCTCTTTAGGCTGTGCTCTTCAGTTGGCGGTTTTGTTCTCTGAGAGGTGGTCACATGACTGGGATTGTAACAGGGCCGCCCTGACCTTAGCATAACTGACTCTGTGGCAGAAGTGCCACTCAGGCTGTAAACTCAGCACTAGACAGCACCACCTGCCAAAGCTAAAACAAAGACCTAACCAGAGTCTCATCTGTCTTGAGAAGAGCAGTGTGCCGGCTAGTGTTTGGTCAGAAGAGCAGTGTGCC